AAATTTTGTCAGCATGAGGGGCCAGAATTCCCCCATTGCCTCCATTTTTAATACATACAAATTAATGCACAGCTTATGATAGAATCAAAGACTTTGGGGCCTGGAAGAGACCTTAAAGAGTACCTTGTCCAGTCCTTTTGAAGCTCGGAGATGGTAAGTAACATGCTGAGGGTCACGTATCCAGCGGACACCAGGACAGGGACTCAATCCCAGGTCTCCCCACTCTAAGTCTGGTGTTTTTTTTATTTTTACTATAATGCCTCTATGATTGTCTGCTTCCCTGTGTTCTTTGGGGGAAAAGGAAGTGTAAATCAATCACAATTATTTCTTATGGTCTAGAATAGTCTAGGGGAAAGAGGACTGAACAAAATTATTTGATACTGCTTTTAAAAAAATAGAAAAGTTGATCAGGAAAATAGCTTCAATACACAGCATGCAGAAGCAAATGAACAGAGCAAGACAATATTCAAGAAACCCAAAGACCCCAACTACTGGGGTAAGTATTCACTGCTTAATAAAAACTCCTGGGAAAATGAGAAAAGAATCTAACAAAATTACGTTTAGACCAAGATCTCACATTAAAAAACACAATAAGCTCCAATGGATGCGTGGCCTAGATATAAAAATCACATAAATTAGAGAAGCAGGAAAGAGAATACTTTTTGTAACTACAGACAGAGTAAGATTTCAATTCTAGAGAAGGAATGGAGGGGATCATAGAAGATAAAAATGAACGATTTTGATTGCATAAAATTAAAAGGTTTTTGCACAAATAAAATCAATGTAATTAAAATTAGAATGGAAATAAGTAACTGGAAAAAAAGTCTTTGCTGCAGGTTTCTCTGATAAAAGTCTCATTTCTAAGATATATAAGGAACTAATTTAAATATGTAAGAATGACAGATGTTCTCCAATAGACAAAAGTCAAAAGGTATAAACAGGCAGTTCTCAAAGGAAGAAATCCAAGTGATTTAACAGCCACATGAAAAAAAAAAGCTCTGAATTACTATTAATTAGAGAGATGAAAATTAAAGCAGCTCTGAAGTTTTACCTACATCTATCAGATTGGAAAAGATGACAAAAAGGACTTATATGAACTCATACGAGTGAAGTAAGAAGAAGCAGGAGAACATTGTACACAGTAACAGCAATGTTATGAGGATGGTCAACTGTGGAAGACTTAGCTACTCTGATCAAGACAGCGAGCCAAGACAGTTCCAAAGGACCCATGATGAAAAGTGCTGTCCACTTCCCGAAGGAAAACTGGTGGGCTCTCAATGCAAATTGAAGCATACTTTTTTACTTTCTTTATTTTTCTTGTGTGTGTGTGTGTGTTTTCTTTTGCAAGATGGCTAATATGGAAATATGTTTTGCATGACTTCATGTGTATAATTGATATCATATTGCTTGCCTTCTCAAAGGGTAAGGAAGGGGCCAGGGGAAGAAGAGAATCTGGAACTCAAATTTTTAAAAAATGAATATTAAAAAATTTTACATGTAATTAAGAAATATTTAAAGAAATAAAAATATTTTTTAAAAAAGAAAGAGGAAGGGCAGCTGGGTGGTACAGTGGATACAGCCCCGGCCCTGCAGTCAGGAGGACCTGAATTCAAATTCGGCCTCAGACCAAACACTTGACACTTACTAGCTGTGTGACCCTGAGCAAGTCGCTTAACCCCAATTGCCTAAAAAGGAGAAAAAAAAGAAAGAGGAAAAAGCTACTTACAAAAATATTTACAACAACTTTTTTTGTTTGTTTTAGCAAAGAACTAGAAACAAAGGAGATGCCCATCAATTGGGAATGGCTGAACAAATTATGTAATATGAATATAATATAACATAATGGAACATTATTGTACCATAAGAAATTACAAAAGGGATAGTTTCAGAGAAACCTGGGCATATTTGTATGAATACGATGTACAGTGGAGTGAATAGAACCAGGACAACAATTTATATTATAAGAATATTGTGAATAGAAACAGCTTTGAAAGATTTGAGATCTCTTATCAATGCAATGACCAACCAGTAGACTCCAGTGGACCAATAAAAAACATGGCATCTATCTCCTAATAGAGTGGTTCTGGAGCAGAATGAGACCTACATTTTTGGACATAGAAAATATGTGGATTTTTTTTGCTTGACTATACTTATTTGTTACAAGGATTGTATTTTCCTTTTTTTACTGGGAGAGGGAGATTTGTAGGAAAGAGAGGTTATAGTGAAATTGTTGCTAGAAACAGAAATGAAAAAAAAAGGTCATTGAAGTACTTTTTACAGTGTACAGAAGAGTACAGAAGGAAGTCCATAGGGAAATGGAGACTATAGGACAACTTTAAAAGTAACTTGTTCAATTTATTATATATCTTTTTAAAGCAAACTATACATCACGGAAAAGGTTAAGAACCCCTTGACTAGAGGAATACAAAGGAAGCATGAGGCATAGTCCTTGACCTCAGGGAGCCTATGATCTAACTGACAGAGAACACCCAAAATGATTTAAGATAAGGGCCAAGCTGTATGACATAGATTAGAAGTGCAATAGGAACTCAGAGAAGAGAGAGAAGATGGAGAGATGGAGAAGTGCAATGAAAAAAATCCCTGGTCTAGGAGCCTAGAAAACTGACCTAGTCCCTGCCACAATGAATTCATGTTGTAAATTTGGAGCAAAGCACCTAACCTTGTTGCATGTCAGTTTCTTTATTTGTAAAGGTGTTTAAAACGATTGAGATGATCTCTAGAAAAAAATTATATGATTTTGTCATTGTGAACTAAAGTAGTCAGAGAAGGCTTCCCAGAAGACATGAGACATTTTCTGGGCCTTTTAAAGGACTTGGCCTGGCCAAAGGGAAGAAGAGGTCAGGGGAGCATCCTCCTAGGGCTGTCTTAAGGGATCTGTATATTCTTGAGCCACTTATTATCATGGTCATCATCAGGTAGGATTCTCAAGGCATCTGCATGTGTCAGCTCAGACTGCAGGGCCCTGCAAGGCATGTTTTGCCAACTGGATTCTCCATTTCTGCATGCTTATGTTACAACACCAGGTATAATCATTTTCTCAAGGAACCTTCACCACATCTTTAGGGTCAAGTGGGTACAAAATTTCATATAGATTAAAATAAGTTGCCCTGAAGAGATGGGAATACGATTAGCATAAAATCAGGAAATGTTCATCTCAAGTACTTATTCAGTGGAAAGAGATTTGGAATCAGGGGCCCTGAGTTTGAATCTTGGCTCTGCTACTTACTACCTATGTGACCTCTGGCATATCTGGCAGCTTTGCTAGACCTCAATTTTCTCATCTGTAAAATGAAGGAGTTGGATGAAGGTTCCTTCCAGCTCTAACCTTCTGAGATGCTTTGATAAGGACCTACCACATGTGGTGCCCAGTACACTAGCATAGCATGTTAGTTTTGTTTCCTCAAACACATGGTAAGCCTGCCAACAGCAGGGATCACGTGCAGACTTCTTTTGGATGCTTCCTTGGGTCAAAGACCTGAGTGCTTCATCAAACCGTAGACTGGGAGAGCTGGAAAGGCTCTTAGAGATTTAGTCCACTGTCATGAATTTACAGAATAGGATAGTGAAGCATTCGGGACACAAAGAGGAAACCACCACTGTACTAAGAACATTTACATAATGCTTGAAAGTTAGCAAAATATTGTATGGAAACCATCTCTTTGGATCCTCACAACAACCCTGTAAAGCAGGTAGGTAAGGAATGCAAGTATCATTATTCCCCCTTAACAGATGAGGCAGCTGGACTCAAAGTAGCTAAAAAGCCTCATGGCTACCAAGTCCCTGTCCTTGAAAAGTTTCTAATCTGATAGGGGGTGAGGAGAGGGCTGAAGCAGAGTTAACCAAATACATAAAGAACTAGAGTACAAACTACACCATGTGAAATCGATGGTCCAAACTATGTCATGAAGGAAACTGGAAAATTGGGAAAACAGAGATCAGGTAAGAAAGGTTTCATGTTAGCAGTGGAAAGAACAAACAAGGGAGAGCACTGATCTTGATGTCAGAAGAACTGGATTTCTAGTCCTAGCCCTGACACCTCCCAGCTGTGGGACCTTGGCAGGTCCTTTTCTCTCTCTCTCTCTCTCTCTCTCTCTCTCTCTCTCTCTCTCTCTCTCTGTGTGTGTGTGTCTCTTTCTCTCTCTGAGTCTCCATTAGTGCTGTATAAAGTGTGGATGACCTTTCTGATAAGACTGATGTATAAAACCTAAAATCCTACATAAATGAGTTACTATTATTATTAGTCCAATTCCAACATTTTGCTTCATAGCCAAAGAAATTTTAACAGAAATAATTTCTTGGAGAGCTAAGGATGAAGAGCCCTCAAGTGTTCAAATAATTGCCAGGAAATTAGAAATAGTTTGCCTCATTATCTTCCTCCACTATTTCCTGAATCCCTCTCTAATAAAGAAGTGGACTTTCTCCTCACCAGTGCAAATCACTCTACATGCACTCTCAATCCCATCCCACGTTCTGCAGTAGATTGCCTCCACTACCATCCCCATCTTCAGTCTCCCTATCTATTAACTGCTTCTCTGCTGCTTCCAAACATGCCTAGATCTTCTCCATCCATGAAATATGCCCACTTGATCTTACCATTCCCACTAGCTCCCATCCTATATCTCTCCTCCATATCCTGACTAAAGTCCTTGAGAAAGCTGTCCATAACTGAGGCTTCCACTGCTACCCTTCTAACTCTCTTCTAAGCCCTGTGCAGTCTATGGAGTAGTAGATAATACAGGGCTTAACTGGAGTCAGGAGGATCTGGGTTCAAATCTGTCCAACACTTAGTAGTTGTGTGACCCTGGACAAGTCATTTAATTCTTTTGGGCCTTAAACAAGTCCCTAAAATAGATCATTAAGTCAGTGTGATTGTGATCTGCTGTGGTGTAAGGTGCATAAATTACAGACTTTTCCCATTTACTTGCTAAGAGAATTTGGTGAATAAGACACTAAGCATATTTCTTCCTTCTTTTTTTTAGGTTGCTTGCCCAAATTCATGATGAACTATTGTTTGAAGTGGAGGACTCACAAATTCCTGAATTTGCAGGTGACCTTAAATGTTAACAGTAAAGCATAATGTAGCTATTTTTCTCTTTAAAAATATTTTATTTTTTCCCAACTGCATGTAAAAACAATTTTTAGCATTCATTTTTTAAATGCTAAGTTCCAAATTCTCTCCTTTATCATCCCCTCCCCTCTCCATGAAATGGAAAGCTTTTTTATTTATATTTATGTACATATTTATTATATATTATTTACATATTACATATTTATTTAAGTTACACATGTGTAATCATGTAAAACACATTTGCATATTCTTCATATTGTGAAAGAAAACAAAAAAAAACCCTAAGAAAGTGAAAAATGGTATGTTTTGATCTGCATTCAGACTCTTATCAGTTCTTTCTCTGGAGATGGAAAGCATTTTTCATCATGAGTCCTTTGGAATTATCTTGTGTTGTGTATTGCTGAGAATAGCTACATCATTCACAGTTGGCCATCACACAGTATTACTGTGTACAATGTTCTCCTGGTTCTGCTCGCTTCACTCTGCATCAGTTCATGTAAATCTTTCCAGGTTTTCCTGAAATCCACCTGCTCATCATTTCTTATAGCATAATAGTATTCCGTTATAATCATGTACCACAGCCTGTCATAGCTACTTCTCTTTTATGAAAAGGTTTAATATGACTTAAAAGTAAATAAAAAACCTTCAGTTGTGTAATACTAGAGCTAAAAGGAAACTTACAGTTCACCTAAGCCAACTTTTTTTTAATTTTACTAATGGGGAAATGAGTCTTAGAAAGGGAGTTCTCACAACAGAACCCCAAAGTCAGAGAATCAGAAAATGTTAGAGCTGGGTAAAACCTTTGAACAGATGATCTTAGAATAAAGCAGGGACCTCAGGGCCATCTAGTCCAACCCCTTTCATTTTACAGTGGAGGAAACTAAATGATTATGTCTAGGGCCACATAGAAAATCAGTAAGTGGCAGACCAGGTCTCCTAAGTCCTAAGTGAGTGCTCTTTGTCTGAATTTCTCAGTTATTATGGAACTTGGATAAGAGATCAGATCTAGCTCTCAACAAATTTGTGAAATCAGCTGAATTTCTCTTCAGTGCCTGCTTTCCATTCTTACCATATCTTGCCTCAGGCTTGCAGTCCAATTATCCCCATACTCCCACCTCTCCCAGGCTTGTAGTGATTAATGTAGTGTCTCCACAGGCTCATCATGTCTCAGCCCTGATAAACTAATGCCAAGAATGGTGTTAGTGATTGAATCTGTTCCCCTCTCCCCCCTCAGAAAAAAGAGGAGCCACAATGTTTAACTCCAAAGAAATAATCACTAAATGGAAAAATCTCATACATCAATGATAGGGGAAATATTTTAGGGAAGGGGAGCCTTCCTGACATTCCTTAATCATGCCACATAGTAGCTTCCTACTCCGCCTACCTATGAGACAGACCACATCTTACATTTAACCAAGAAAATCATTTAGTAGCTCCTCTAATGGAGTATTTATGGGCAAACAGGGTTAGCAGATATAGGATTAGAAGACCAACATGGAGGGCTTGGATCTATACCTACAAAAATGAAATCAGAGATTTTCCAAAATATCCAAGTTGTCATCTAAATCACAACCAGAAATAGCCTTTTTTTTTAACAATACAGTCAGTAACATGTCCCAGCATAAGACAAAAACATAACTACAGACAGAATGTCCCACATTGAGGTATGTCGAGTGGAGTTTAGTCATCTCTGTTGTATCTGTCCCCACAGATCTTCCCCTCCTAAGAAGAAATCACTCAGCACTTGGGAGACCAGGATTCTAGTTTCCCCCTTGACATTTCCTTGATGTGTCACCTTAGGGAAGGTGACATTGAGCCTCTATTTCCTCTTCTATAAAACGAAAATTAGATTGGAAGATCTCCAAAGGTCCCTTTCAAATTTAATAGTCTACAAATCTAAGTGATTTTCCTTTATGAAGCTGAGTTCTCTCAACTGTAAAGTGGGATAATAATAATACCTACATTACTTTTTCTCCCAGGGTTGTTGTGAGGAAAGCACTTTGCAGATATGAGAATGCTATCAAAATGTGAATTTTTGCTATTATAATGTGAATTGTAAAAATAACAGACCCTAAACCTGATGATGGAAGGTCAGAGGGCACATGAGCACACTGTCCTAAACATGGAGGGTGATGGGCTTAGAGTTGTATGTGCCCATTCTAACGTGGTGCAGTATTTAACGGTATTCTCTGGAGCCAATCACCAGGACTGAATCCCAGGAGTACCCATGTGGATGTTCCATTAGGTACCACTTTTCAGGAATGTGGTGGAGGGGTTTTTGTTCAGATAGAAGTTGAACTAGATGCTCTCTGATTCCAAATTGGAGAGAACTCTGACCTGGGAGCCCAGAAGGCCTAGGTTTGAACACCAGCTTTTACACTAATTTACTGTATAAACCCTGGGAAGCTCTTTCCATTCTCAGGTCTTCAGTTTCAGAAGAAATTGTCCATTGCAAGTATTGAACAAGAAAATTCTAACCTAAGTGCTCCTCATCTCACAGTTATCTTGTAGTCCTCCCATTCCCTCATAGCTCACAACCAAAAAGTCATCATGTCCTATTGATTCTATTGCCCAGTATCCCTGCATCTGATCTATCTTGTCTAGTCCTTCTGCCATCACCCTAGTTCAGGCCCTTATAACTTTCCCCTTGGGTTATTTTAACAGTTTTTAAATTTTGTAATTTAATTTTTACTCTCAGTCCCATATTCTCACTCTTCCTACACCCCCTCCTCTACCCATTGAGGAAGCAAGAAATATGATACCCATTCTACATATACAGTCATATAAACCATATTTGCACATTGGCTATGCTCCAAAAAAAGGAAAATAAATAAAAGGGAAAATATGCTTTAATCTGCCCTCTGAGTCTATCAGTTTTCTCTCTGAAGGCGGTTAGTCCTTTGGAATGTGGTTGGTCATTGTGTTGATCAGAGTTACTAAGTCTTTCACTGTGGATTATCTTCACAATATTGCTATTGCTGTGTAGATTTTTTTTCCTGGTTCTGCTTAATTAACTTTACACCAGTTCATAAAAATCTTCCCAGGTTTTTCTGAAACCATCCCCTTCATCGTTTCTTACAGCATAACAGTATTCTATCATATTTATGATAGTTTCTTAATTAGACTCCCTGACTCCAGTATTTTCCCTGTCTTCCAATCTATCCACAATACTGTTTCCAGATTGGTCTCCCTGGTGCACAGATGTGATCATACCACTTCATTTAAAGGAACACACTCCTAAGCCAGGAGGATGTACCACAAGGTGATGCTCCTTCCAGCATCTCATACATAAACTATACAGTAGGCAAGCTGGACTACTCACCGTCTCCCAAACAGGGTTCACATCTTCCTGCCTTAGCATCTTTGCTTCCTGCAACATTTCACCTCTGTATGGTACAGCAGAGTGAAAAAGAAGACTGGATTTGGAACCAAAAGCCCCAGTTCTAAGTTCCATGTCAACTATTTAAATGACTGGGTGACCTGGGGCAAATTGTTTAACCTCTCAAGGACTCATCTAATAATAACTAATACCCAGCATTTATAAAGTGCTTTTAAGGTTTGTATAGTGCTTTACAAATGTTATCTCTTTAGCCTCACAACCTTCTAGGTACTATTAATATTATTCCCATTTTACAGGTGAGAAAACTGAGGCAAACAGGGTTAAGTGTTGCCAAGGGTCACACGACTAGTAACTGTCTAAGGCTGGATTTGAACTCAGGAAGAAGAGTCTTCCTGACTTCAGGCAGGGTGCTCTATCCGCTGCACCACCTAGCTGCCTCATATTCTTCATCTATTAAATGAGAAGGTTGGATTCAGTGATCTTTAAGGTCCCTCCTAGTGCTAGCACCTATGATTCTAAATACTATCTCTTCTGTGAAATTTTTCCTAATCCTTACAGCTGGAAGTGATTTTTCCTTATTAGATCATCATTATATTTTTCTCATGTACATACTTGCTCATATATTATATATTATATATATATATATACATATATAGTTACTGCATATGTATTATTTGCATAAACTATATTCCTGTTCTTTCTCATTATGGTATAATATCCATTGTGTCAAGGACTATGTCTGTATCCATCACATCTTGTCCAGCACCAAACAAAGGGCCTTGCATGTAGTAGGTTCTGAAAAAAAATGTATATCGAATTAATAAATGAATGAATGAAGCAAAGAATGAACAAATGCAACATTCTGACTCACTGTGAGTCTTTCCACCTAATTAAGAGGTCATAGGGTCACAAATTCCTTTGGAGGCTGACCTTACCTTCTAAGTGCAGCGCCTCCCATACTTAGGGAGTTTGACCCTTGCACAGAAGATATATTTCCCTGAACCATCCAGCAGGCACCAGCTTCAGATATTACGCATACTTGGCCCAAATCTAACTAGTGTAAAACCTGTATCTGCCCTAAACTGGTATCATTTTTTAGCATATACTGATATATTTTTCTTCTTTACAAACAGTCTCCTAGTATAGCCTATATTTGTGGCAGCCTATATCTGAGCCAGCATAATCTGTAATAGGGCAAAATGGTTGGTCCCAGAAATCCCCCATCACCTGAGCATGAGCACGGTAGAACAGGCTGTCCTCTGTTTGTATTCTTGGAGAGAACCTCAGGGTGGACCATTCTGGAGCAAGCTAGCCGCCAGCCCATTGCAAACATTGCTACTTCATCTGGAAGCTGTGCCTGCCTCTAGTATCCATTTCTGTGACCCTGAAAGGCCTTTCCTTCCGCAGGCCGTGATGTTATCTCCCAAGGAACTAAGCCCGTATTTATAAACCAGAAGTGAGCAGGCAGTCAAACGCTACCCTTCACTGGCTCATGAAGAATTTCTCCTGAGCATTCAGGGCAGCTGCTTTGTTTTGTTTTGTTTTGTTCTCAGTAGCTTAAACCCCAGAAATACAAATGAAATTACCCTCTTTCCTACATGGTCATTACCCACAACCTAATTTACTTTATCAGTCTCGT